ACAACACACAACACACAACACACAACACACAACACACAACACACAACACACAACACACAACACACAACACACAACACTACACACACAACACACTACACACTACACACACTACACACTACACACTACACACAACACACACACTATACACAATGAACACGATCTCCACCCAAGAATTCGCCTCCCGTTTCCTCGCTGCCCAGCAAGGAGACATGCAAGCCCAGTATTTAATGGGCACTTGCTTCGAGTTCGGCAAACATGTCGAACAAAACTACCGTACAGCTGCAGCATATTATCAAATGGCTGCAGCACAAGGCCATCTCATGGCCCAATTTACCCTGGCCGCCTTTTATTATAGAGGGAAAGGCATAGAAAAAAACTATCGGAAGGCCTTCGACCTGTACCAGACGACGGCCAATAAAGGCCTTACAGTGGGGATTCGCAACCTGGCGATTTGTTTTTATAACGGGATCGACGTGGTGCCCAATAGAGTGGAGGCATTCAGATTATGCCAAATCGCGGCTGGTCGGGGTGAAGCGTACTCTCAATATAGTCTTGGCCTATTTTATTTGAAGGGGGAGATTGTTGGTCAAGACTATGCAAAAGCTCGCGAGCTTTTCGAAAAGGCGGCCCGAAGGGGGTATGCTCCGGCACAATTGGAGCTTCGAAATCTCAGTTTGGGGTTGTTGGGGATGAATAATGGGGTTGGGAATGCTTAATGTATTTAATATATATATCTAATAAAAACATCATTGTTTGTTAACCAGAGATACCTGAGCATATGACCGCAGTAAATAATAATAGAGACAATACAGTAATTGAACATTTGATAATCAACTGTGATGTGTTCTGAAAAAAAAAAAAGACTTGCGCTCTTCTTTACTATGATCCGCACTCAGTTATCATCCGCCAATTACTTACATACACGCAAGTCGATAAAGACACCAAGTCATACGTTACACGCATCATCAGCTTTATTATCATCGTTGATGCACCTGATGTACCACCGTGTTGATGCATGGTTTGCAAATATACGCAGACAGGGTCTACGACTTCCTGATTGGTCAACGTGCTTACACGTAACAAGTTTTCGCAGATGTTGGTGGGAATAACAAACTTTCGACTACGCAAGTTCCTTGTCGCAAAAGGACTTGATCGTCTCATTCTAGGTCCCTGATGGTGCATTTACCTGTGAAAGCGACAGATTCGAGGAAAACTCCATTGAATAGTTGATCTATCCACAGATAAGCAATCACTTGTGGGGAAAAAAAAGCAAAATAAACAAAGAAACAGCGTTCGATTCATAAACAGAGTAATAAGAGGCTTGGCTTATCACAAGACTATTGATACTGATAACGTAAACATCTTAAATGGTGACAACAAACGCATGAAAAGCGCCAGACGAAACAATGTTGTTCTATATTTTCTGCAGAGTAAACATGATTCAGCATGAGATGACCCTTATCAACCCCTTATTTGACAGCGATAACGTAATTGCTCGTAAATGGACGAAACAAAACGCCATCTTGCTTCAAAATTTGTCGGCAGTGCATTCAATAAATTCTATTTTAGAAAGCCGATAACGTAAATGCTCATGAACGGAGTAAAAAAAAACGTCATCTTGCGTTAAAATTTATCCGCAGAGACACGTAACCTGTTCAAGAAAAGGAAAAACGCCATTGAGCAAACTCCGGTTCCATACTGTGTCAAGAGATATTGTTCTCTCGGAGATGTGTACTTGCTTATTCGCGGAAACATTATCAGATTTAAAAAGAGTTTGTGTTACGGAAACAAGCTTCTGCTCGAATAATATTTTTTTTTTCTCAAAGCAAATTGCGCATTAACAGCGTAAATGGAATGTAATGAACTCCGACCCAACTCCCTATTTGAACGGGCTGAACAACGTCGCTTGAAAATACATACCATAATAGTAATCGTGATTGTTCATGAACATAACAATAGCATTGCGTCTAATTCCCGATATAATGTAGACTTACGTAATCCGAATCATGTTACACTTGCAAGCATTAGTATAGTATACATTGGTTTATTCTAAAAAACTAACCATTTCCTTTGTGCAAGTGTCCTATCACCCCAAAAATTTGCCGCTGAATTTCTTATAAAGCAGCAAT